TATGTTCAGAAGTTCTTTCATATAATATGGTGTGACTGTGTGTTCTATACTGGCTATAAACTGTGCATAAAATAAACTGTGTATGACTGTGTTCTATACTGACTACACAGTCTGCTCTACAGATGATACCGATCAGAGCACTGCATCAATGGCCCGCTGCGAAGATATACAACCGTGTTCTGGTAAGCAGTGCTCGCTCGCAAATCATGCTCGACATGGTCTCACCACCCGGTGGCCCCTGCGCCCAACTACAATCGTGCTGGGCGCAGTTATAGTCGCACGAATCGGCGGCGAGCAATAAAACTGTGAGTGATGGTGATATTATCTAACACTTATCCGTCTTCCACCATTCATTCGATAATTAACATAGCATCTTAAGCTCATACATCAACGTGCAGAAGGCTATTATGAAGCATTGCTATGGGTTATTCGTTCAGTTCATGTCTGTCTTTAGAGCCGACTATTAACACTTGCAGTCATGTGCGCTGTGCATGGTTTAATTGTTCAGAATATGCATACATGCATATTTTCCCATAAGGTGCAGACAAGTGTTTTAATTACAGGAAACAATGAATCCGGGGCAGAGTCATTTACCACGCCAAGTTTGCGTGATAGGCCCACTTGCAAAGTCATTGCCTACCTACCTCAAGAAAGCTGGAAAATTATTATCCTCCATTACATGTTCGGGAAATTCCAGTTTTGTTATCAATGGCGGGGATTTCCATAATTATTTAAGCAATGAAGATGAATGAAAGTAAAAGGAACCAGGAAATAATATGAAAATGTTGTAAGCGAGCAACAGCAAGCTTGGAAAATAATAATGCATGTCACATGAACTTCTTTGTTAAATAGCGTGTCAATTATTTATCTTTAATCTTAACCCGCGCCCAGATGGGGTCTGCCGAGCAACGCGGTCTGATGGGGGGGGGGGGCCATTTTGGCCCCCCCCCCTCATATCTCGAGAACCACGCAACATAGCGACAAGCGGTAAACGGTGTTGGATAGCCCCAACGGGGAACTACCTTGTGACCCAATTTCATTGACCTCGGTCAATCCGATGACGTCACAGGTCAGGTCAAAGGTCGAATTTTCACCGTTTACAGGCATTTCAAGAAATGCGTTGTAAAATCGAGTAAAATGCATTTCATTGAAAATCATCGGTGGAGAAATGTTCTTCAAACACATATTTTGCTATTTGAGGTCACTGATACCAGGTCAGGTCACAGAGGTCAGGTCACTGGGGGGTCACAATATGAAAGTGTCGTGTGATACATGTTTTATGGTCCATTTTACATGACAAATGCGATTATGTGGGTCAGACAGACTTTAGGGCCAGCTTAGGTCACGTTTTGGTCAAGGTCAGGTCAAGGTCAGATCAAGGTCAGGTCAAATTAGGTCAAATTTCAAAGTTGATATTTTTGCATAAAATGGGTATCGATTCGATGCAGCTCGTCACGGGGAGTTCAACGGTGGTCTCCGTTTAGCGCTACGAGGTCTAGAATTGCTCAAAATTGAGTTCAAAAATTTGACGTCATCAATTTTTAACAGTTTTTTTGCTATAACTTGGCCAAAAACGAGGTATCGATCTAAAATTTGGTATGTATATAGAAGAGCGTAGGGACTATCACATATATTCCGGTTTTTTCGAAATTCGAAAAAAATTGGAAATTTTTTGAGTTTTTCTAAAAAAATCAATTTTTTTGATTTTTGGGGGTCAAAATCCCAAAATTTCGAAAATCCGAGATAGCAGTTTTGTAGCGCCGTCTTTGCTCTACACAACCACATAAAGAACTTTAAAATTGCTGGTTAACTGTAGAATTGGTGAGCGTTTCAAGATGTCATGTTTTTTGCTCATTTTTGCTCGAACATGACCTCAGTTTGACCTCAATAACTCCTGACCTGAGGTGACCTGTGACTTAAAATTTTGTGTGAAGGTGTCAAATTGATGTCCGGTAAGGTACCCAAAATTTGGCGGCGCTGCGCGCCGCCGTTTTCTCGCTATTTAAGAAAAACCACAGGGGGGGGGGCCAAAATGCCCCCCCCCATCAGGGCGCGGGTTAACCATACCATGCACGAAATTATATATTTTTGACCTTCACCAGCTCTACCTGCACTAGCCTGGAGGACCATAGGTAGGCCCCAGGACCACCCTGGTCCCTGGGCCGCCACCTGGAGTGTTATACCCCTCCCCGTGAGCAGTGTCACAGTCCTGCCACCCTCAGCGGGGTCCAACGTCTACCACCACCGGTCTGGCTGTCTCATCACTCTGCACCCCCTCGACTCCTGTCCTCTATATCGCTCTCCTTTCTTCCCGGCGAGAGTGAGCCGGTAGCTCGTCAGTCTCGCGCTTCCGGTCACCGCTTTGATACCGCCGACAAAGACCTCCCACGTGCAGAAAAAAAGCGGAGTTGGTCGCCATCCGTCTCCCGTCGTCTCTCCAGTCGCCGGCCGGCCGCCGGTCGGTCGCCCTGTGAGGTGGCGAGCCGTCTCCCGTAGGGTTTTGTGCCGACTCTTGTAGCGGCGGTCAGAGTCGCGCAGACCCCCGAGAGGGGAACATCAATCGAACGGGCAGAGCTGGACGGGTCAGTTCCGGTAGAAAAGGAGCGGTGCGAGAGAGATGTCACGCAGGCAAAAAAAAATGTCCTCGGAAGAAGACCGGTAGCTGTTTGGAAGAGTTATCGCCCGAGTGTTGTGTCGAGTTGGAAGTCACTGGGGTGGGGTCCAGGGGAGGGTGTTTTCTTTCCAAACAGTCGGCAACTCGGCACCTTTCACAAGATAGCTGAAACATATAGCTCCTAAGATTTATCCTATGGGCATGCTCACTATCTTCATTATGCTATTGAATAGTTTCGTTACCGTAGAAGCAGGCTTATCGATAGTTTTCCAATCGATCGAATCGCATATATGTATAACATATATCGCGCTTTCATAGATTGGTGGCTCTGAGTGTCTTTGAAACCCGCAAACAAGACTTAGTGCTGAATGAACTTGCTCAAACTTGGTGAATGAACTCGAAACATGATTCATGCCTTTGCTTGAGTGTACCTACTTTTGTGCATATGTCAACACCACGCGCACACAAGCCTTTTGTGCAATATGGTCTGCCAATTTGGTGCCAGTGACACACAAAAGAAACGCAAATTCATGACGCATCGATTATTGAGTTTTCCCTTTACGATCATGCGCCGACAATGGTGCCATTAAACTTTGTTATGGCGAATGAAATTACAAGCTCCTCCTGATGCATATGTAGTAGCATTACGGTTGCTACGACTTTTGACACTTCTAATGGACGCTTTGAAAAGCTCCATGACGCAAGAACACAGTCTCATTGACTGCAAGTACGACAGCCTGGGATGCTATAGATGAGCGTGCAAGCCGTAACAACGTCCCCGTCACACTGTGACTCGGCTGTATCGAATGCTGTGACTGCTTTGTTTTCTGTGACGGTCGTAACATCCTGGTCGCTATGATGTCTGTGATGACTGTGACGGTGGCAGCCTCTGTGACGGTTGTGACGGCTCAGCCTCCAACTCTCTGTGAACTCCATGGCTATGGTGGTTGTGACGAATGCAGAGGTGATATGTTCATCACCACGCCTGCCTCAAGCCTCCAGTCCCACATTTCCACTGAGAACCTCTCGTTCCAGCCTTCTCTCTTCCTCGAATACGAAACAGCTACCGACCGGCAATGCGTTCGACGGTTTATCCGGGGAATATTTGAAACCACCCAGAGACAGCAGTTACCTTCCGGCTGTTCAGGGTCGCTCTTGTCCGTATACGCTATAGTTATGATTTTTTTTTTGGTTGTTTAGAAAATGTAGGTAGGTACTCGTATCGTCCTTCGTACCTACAAATGCCTACCTGTATGTGAGAAATGGGAGAGAGAGCTCACATATTGCATGTTTGATTAATACGATAAAATAAAGACGTTTTCTCGACTAAATGGCTGGCCTAAAACAGTCACTTCAGTATGAAACCAATGCAGGCCAGCCGCAGGTCGAAGCCCAGTTCTGGGGCAAGCTGCGGACTATAACCGGATTTCGGCAAAGCTGCAGCTCCACCCGGGTTCCGGAACAGTCACAGCTCCGGGCCTTATTCCGGGACCACGGCTGCGGTCCGGCCCGTCCCCAGGCTCGCCAGCCACAGCACGGGTTCCATCGAGTCGCTCTCGTGTGACCATCGGCAGTTAGGCCGGCGGAATTCGAGCCGGCGGCAGTTAGACCGACCAGATTTTCAGCACTGACGTCATCACTTTGTCCCCAGGCGATCGCTGTGGAATAATGAAGAAAATGTGCTGCAAGCTCTTGGAGACTGAGCAGTGCCTTGCGAAAGGCTTGGAAGATTATTGGATTCCGTGAACGATTGAGCGTCTGACGTGCCAAGGCGTTACTAGAGATGCAAGATGCTGAGCGAAAGTATCGAGCCGTCAGTGTTGCCTTTGTATGTGACCAGCATTCATTGAAACATTTGTGTCTGCTTGTATCGTATCATCACAACTCACAGGCGGTCACTGTGTTTTGCCATTTGTTCCGCTGAGCCCCAGCTTTGGCGGCCGTTCGAGTGCCTAGCGTGACCGTCGCCGATGTGAACCTAATGCAATATCCTGGCCGCTGGTGGCGGCGTGGCGTGCGGCAGCGACATCGCGGCCGGTGATCGGTTCGACAGAACCACCCCCGTTCCACCCAGTCCCCCCTCCCTCCCCCCGTGCTCGTGGGGGGGGGGGGGGCACGCCATCTCACCCTGCCGAGGTCGACTGACGTGCTGATGATGTCTGTATCGAAGAGTTTCCGACGCGGATTAACTCTGCAGAGCACGATCGGATTAAGTGTGAGTGTGTCGAATAATCCGGTGAGAAAGTGAGATAGTACGCATGTGTTGAAAATCCTGTCGGCTCACTTTCGCTATCGCTCGATGCTCGGTGATCTGTCGGTAGCTTTTAAGAAACTGCGGTATACGGCTAGTACAATCAAGCGTCCCTCGCGAATAAAAAGACTGAAATGTGCATAGCAGTGTTTGTTATTATTGTCATTGCCATATTTGTACAGAATATTATGAAGATACCGCGCAAAGAACAGTCACTATTTATAGCACATTCGACAAGCGCGGCACCCGACGAGCCACTAAAAAATCAACAAAATAATCGTCACAACAAGTCCAGCAGTCAGCCACGAATAAAACGTGTCAGCGCGATCCGGTGCACAACCGAACAGCACGCAAATCATAATATGCCAAGACCCCCTTATGTACATCGATGGCGGGGCCGTGCCGCGCGGGCGGGGGCGGGGGCGGGGGCGGCCGACCGCCCAGGAACATCACAGTTGTCCGCGGAGGCGCGCGCTGCCGTGCGCACTAGATAACACCCGTGATACATTGTGGTTATTTTGGCACAGACACGGCGCGGGCGGGCTCACGGGCGACGCACAAAACGGGGAGAGGAACTATGTCGGCAGCACGCTCGCGCCCAGCGGACCACGGAGAACACACGCGACAGCAGCGACAACTCACGACGCCGCCGATACGACGGCGTCGACGGCACACACATCGACGGCACAACGAATCGACAGTCACACATACACACAGACAGACATACGCACACGGTGATACGGCTACAGGGCGGGTTTGACGTCGACAGGTGAGGTGGCCGCACTGCCGTGCAGGGGAGGCGTGTGCACAGAGGCCGGGGAGCTCACCGACTGACCCTCGCTAGGAGACTCGGAGTCCGAGCCGGAGCCCTTGCAGCCGGGCTCGTCAGAGTGCGTCTTGGAGTGCTTGGCCAGGTGATCAGACCGCATGAATTTCTTGTTGCACAGCGGGCACGCGAAGCGCTTCTCGCCGGTGTGGGTGCGCAGATGACGCTGGAGCTCGTCCGAGCGCGTGAATCTCTTCCCGCAGAAGAGCCAGTTGCAGACGAACGGCCGCTCACCGGTGTGCCAGCGCAAGTGGGCCTTCAGGTGGGAGCTCTTGTTGTACACCTTGCCACAGCCGGGGATGTGGCACGAGTGGACGCTCTTCTTGCGCAGGTGAAGCGCCGCCGCCGGGCCGAGTCTCTCCGCCTCGGCGCAGTTGGGACAGTCGCAGGTAGCCCGACCCGTGTAGCGCCTCTGGGAGCGTGACGAACCCACCGGTCCGAGGCTGCTCTGAGCGAGACCGAACGGCGAGCCCACCGCTCCCGGCATCGTCTGGCCGGGCAGCATCGACTTGTAGGTGTCCTGCAGCAGGTGCTGACCCGAAGACGCCAGCAGGTGGGCGTTCGAGCCGAAGCCGAGCGACGAGTAATCGGACGTCACTGGGTATGTCATCTGCGTCATCGCGCCAGGCATGCCACCAGCGAGCGCCTGACCGGCAGCCGCGTTGGACATCTCGATCCAGTTGGCCTGCGCAGCGGCCGCCGAGTGCATGTCCCACCAAGAGTTGGCAGACACCTCGGGTTTGACGGCACCCGTGCCGGCGGCTCCAGCGAAGGGCCACTGGTCGTAGGGATGACCCGGAACGCGGCCGTATACTGAAGACATGGGTGAGAAGTGGGAACCCACCGCGTCGGCCCCCGAGCTCATGGCAGCTGCCGAGAAGTACTCGCCGCTGCCGTAGCCGGAGAGGCTGCTGGATGAGCTGCTGTTGGTGGCAGGTCGCGAGTAGCTGAGCGCCGCAGCTGCCGTCGAGCTGGCTGCCGGAGACGAGCGGGACGGCTGCGCGCCCGGGGACGACGCGGCGGGACCGTTCTTCTTCCAGGGGGTGAAGCCCTTACCGACGGCGGCGTCGGCGAGAGCTGGGGGTGACTTGCTGGTTAGCTTGTTGCACTGGGCTGCCAGCATCGCCAGAGGAGTGCCGCGCAGCGACGGGTGGTCCTGCAACAACAGAGAGAGGCTAGATCAACGACGGGTCACAGAAAGATCGCGGTTAGGTCACGGAACTTCACATTAGGGCAAGTTTCAACAAATGCTAATGATGCATCAGATTCTGATAGGAGTTATTCGCAAACGTTATTTTTGAGAGCACACTTACATTCTCTGTCCGCCCTCCCACCCCCCTACCCCTACCTTGCACACCATCGCATATGAGCGCCTAGCCCACATGTTTCCCACGTGTCACCACCACCTCCCGACCCCCGTGACCCGGCCACCCGTCACCCTTAATCAGTGACCGATTCGTCCCGGTCACGGCGGCCGACCGGTCACGAGCCCTGCCGTGACATTAACGACACTCCCGTGATATGGGTCATACCGTGACGGGATCGGGTCCACGCGGTGTCTGTCCTACATGGGTCACATTCGCGGCAGAGGCGTCCTTCACACGGGCGTGCTTTTATAAGGTAACCCCACCGTCGGCAGCGCTCCGGTAATCTCCCCACAAACTCGTCAGTGTTATGACAGTCGGTGGTTTTTATATGACGTTGATAGTTGCCTGAGGCCCTCGGCTGCTTCGCTCGCAGATTCATCAGGTTCTCAGGGGAAGTTTACGGGAGATAGCGGCGCCCGGAGCGGCTAGAGATCCGGAGACGCCCCGGAACTCATATAAACTCTCAGAGACGCCCGGGGCTTCTCCGGACTCTCGGAGATTCAAACGTTAGGAAGCTGTGGGATAGTCCGAGATTAGGAACAGCTAGCAACAGTGCCGAGTCAGCCGACCGAACACCGGCCACCCGGTCTTTGTGGCCGCCTGTGGGCGATGTCTCTGTTCCGGCAGGTCCATTATTGGTTCTGGGTAAACTGCCACGCTGCAGCGGCGGCGGCGGCGGTGGTGGCGGTGGTTCTGGGGTTACCGCAGCGCCCAGCCCAGCTGCAGGCTGCAGCCAGTGCCGTGAAAACGGCCCCACTCCCACACTGGGACCATATCACCTGGCCGGGCCGGCCCCAAGGCCACGTGGCCAGGATACTGCCAAATAACGGATAATGTATCCTGGTGGTAGTCTTTATGACATCATATATTATGGAAAAGGATGTACGAGCGCATACGTTTGATCATAAAATTTATGACTACTGCCGCCTCATTCCAAGCTGCCAATGCCCATGAAAATTCGCGCTTGTTCCGTCAAGTTGAAATAAATTTTGAAAGTGTAACTTTTACACACCATTTTACGATGGAATAAGCCACAGAGAGAATACTTGACCACCTAAGAGAGTCATTTGATGACCGTTCAGGCGTCATGCCTGGTGAATTCATGCCACAAGAGGCTGACCGACGGAGTCGATTCTACCTGACAGTCCCGTCTCATTCCGTGACCGTCAGCGGACGGCTGAGGCGGCCAGTCTTTGGTCAGCTCCGGAGGGCAAATCGCCGGTATGTCGCCCACTGACGAGCCGCTTCCGCGCCGCTCCCACCGCTAACTACCCTCTGCAGCCGTCCGTCGCCGCCGCCGCCGCCGCCCATCACCCTCCCCTGCACCGCCCGGGGCGCGCCGAGCCGCACCGCGGCCGCCTGCGGTTGCCGACTGCACCGCCGCACGCGGAGACTTCGATTACTCAGCGGGCGCTAACACTCGGCGGCGCCCCGCCGCGCCGGGCGCGCCAGAAATCACGAGATGAGCGCGCGCCGGCTACCGTTTAGCGCGCGAGGCATGCCGGCCGTCTCGGGATTTTATTACCGGCGCCGGGGACCCCGCCGAGTAGAGCGATGATCACTGTAACGAGCTCAGTAGCGGCCGGCGGCGGCGTGCTCGGTTAGATTAACCAATATGAGCGCGAGGGTGCGATTATTTGGCCGGCGCCGCCGCCGCCGCCGCGCGGAGAGCCGCCTTTAATCAGTACCGCTCAGTCGGCACTGGGCAAAACATGACCGGCACCGCTGGACGCGCGATGGTATCGTGGAGCGGCTCGCACCTCGCGCTGTCGGCGCGTTAGTGGTGCAATTATTCCGGCACCGCGCGCCGCCGCGGTGGGCGCATTTCTCAGTAGAATGGTCACTCAGCTCCTTCATCTACCAGCTAATGTTCTCTCTCTCTATCTCTCTCTCCCTCTTTCTCTCTCTCTCTCTCTCTCTCTCTCTCTCTCTCTCTCTCTCTCTCTCTCTCTCTCTCTCTCTCTCTCTCTCTCGATCTCTCTCCCTCTCTCTCCTCGCTCTCCCTTCGCGTGCGGTGTTTCCTCTGTCCGCTCTCGATCTCGTCTCGGTCTCTCTGAAGAGCCGCCGCTGTCCCAAATGACGCCGCCACAATGCCGAGGTTAATGAGGTCTGTAAACAGAACGCCCTTCTCATTCCGCGCACAGGCCTCCGGCCGGCCTCCCACGTGAAAAATCGCTCCGCTCGCGGTCCTAGCCGCGGTCTATCCTGCCACCACCACCGCCGCCGCCACCGCCGCTGACGCCGTGCTGCCGCCCGCAGCTCCAACACCGGCCGGATGCTGGGATGCTTCTGCGTAAAACGGCGGCGGCGGCGGTGGCGGCGAGTTCCAAGAGTTGCCTGATTCATTGCCGATCCTGAGCGGCGCGCTTCTGTCGACAGCTTGTCGGACGAGCCGACAGAGACAGAGGGGTAGGACGACAGAGGCGGAGGGTTAAACGGAAGCCGCCGGCGCGGTGGTGGGGACGGAGACCGGAAGGGAACGAGCTTCTGGGGAGCGTGGATGGCGTTTGTGTGACCCAATTTGAAGATCATTTGGAAAGGAGTTATAAATGAGCCTTATTAGTTATTTTTTTGACTTTCTGATATTTCTTGTTGGTAAAATAGCACTTCTTAACGCTTACTGCATTTGCTGGCAAGTTTTTCTTTCTTCGGTATTTTTATCGGCTGTAGCTTCTCTCTCTTTCTCTTTCTCTCTCTCTCTCTCTCTCTCTCTCTCTCTCTCTCTCTCTCTCTCTCTCTCTTCCTCTCCCTCTCTCTCCCCCTCTCTCTCTCTCTCTCTCTCTCTCTCTCTCTCTCTCTCTCCACATTCCTCCCGTCCTCAAACGACCTGCGTCCGCCGCCGTTCTGGTCAGCTGACCTGGCACACGCCAGATGTGGTCTGGCCGTTAGCGGAGGAGGCCCAGATGTGAACCGGGCTGACCGAGCTATCCGCCCACAGCCGCCCTGCTACCGGCGCTGGCGATTCATCAGTGTGGCGTGTTCCGCGTGCCGCCGAGAGGGGTGACTCAACGAGTAGGTCATCACGGGTGGTGGAACCCAGTGATGCGGATTAGGGGTTAGACCAGATGATGTTGGTGACCAGGGAATATATGGACAAGTGATGCAGACCATTGATAAAGACACAACAGATATGTAATTGAGGCTTATGATAGATCATTCTCCACATTCCAAGCGTCTAGTCAAGTTACCGGCTCACTGTGTTTACTCTCCACCTGACTCTGCCCTTTTTCAACTGCACCCTAGCCCCGACGGTGGTGTGGGCTCGTCGCGTGGCCGCCTCTCCACCGTCTGTCGCCGTTTACGGCCCGTACGACGGGCGGCGGAACTAACGTTTGGCGGCGCGGTGCCTGATTTACTGGCCGGCGCGGCCGCGGTCCCTAATGGAACGGCCGTAGGGTCGTCGGGCGGCGGCGGCGGCGGCGACGGTGGTGGTGGGGCTTCCAACCACAGTCGTGGCAACGGAGGAGACCTCGGTAGCCAGTCGCGGCCCTGCAACTCTCCTGACCTTCGTGTTGACCCGTATTGAGAGTGCAGCAGCTTGAGAGCTCCCCCGGGCGTTTACGGAGAACTTTGTGAGCGCCCTGAGACACGCCTGCGGCCGCGGCCCGCTGTCCAGACCGAGATTGGGTGTTTTGTACCCAGTGACCCGTCCGTCACTCAGTGTGTTTTGCTCGTTTGTTTACCGACTAATGAACAGCATACTGATGAGTTACAAATACGTCAAAACGATGGACGTTTGGGGTGTTGTGGGCCGTCTGCTCGGACACAAAATCGACAGCGCCTCGCTCCGATTTTCTCCGGCCGGCTGGTGACCGTACTTCGCCGCGGGTCGGGACAAATGACTAATTGCCAGTAAATTAGTCTGAATAATTATCTAGCGGCGATTTGCGCTGATGGTAATGAGTCAATTAATGGACCGGTCCTGTCCCCAGGCCATGGTTCAGGACATGCGCGGCGTCGCAATGTCCTCCCCTGCGATGAAAAAGGGGAAGGGGTGCATGCACTCTGAAGAAGACGCTTCCCAAATGGGGCATAGGAGGCCCAGTAAGTGCATAATGACCTTGTGTAGCCTTGGCTCGTTTTGGATAGCGCAATGGACCTAATGCACATTACACTAGAATTGCGTGGTCGCCTGATTTATGAACAGCCCACAATGACTGGCGGACGTAATAAAACACCGCGGCACGACAGCCCTAATTGAGCTGTATCAAAAAAAGCCGAATCAATAAAAACATCAAACAAAACAGAAGCGATAGGCGGCTGAAAAGTTTCCCACTAAAAACAATTTCACTCTCATGACCGGCGACCATCGGCGCTGCTGGCACTCTGATACAATTAAAATGGACGATCTGGCAGTCAACTAACCGTCTCGGTTCACGGTATCCGTCCCGATATCGGACTCAGCCCCGACAGAAGCCGAGTCCGTCCAGCCAGCGCAGTAATGGGGGTCTGCAGTAGGAAGGGTAGTTAAGCTGTCAGCCGCGGCGATGACAGCGCCGATTATGCGTGGGAGGTCTGTGACAGCGGTGACATCGGTGTCATTGGGTCACTTGAGCCGGTGACTGAACTGTCATATGGACTGCCACATCTAAGTGGGCACTGCGGAGAGTCTGATCAACCGATCTCTAACAGACTCTGTTGACAGACTCAGTCCAAGACCTTTGGATGTCACTGAATATTGCATTGGCATCAAGGTCTGCATTTTACCAACCAGTGCATCTCTTCCATCAGCTGAAGATATTACGTCATTGGACTACTGGTTTCTCTCTCAATCCCATGACGTCATCAG